CAGGACTAGCAGGAGAAATTCAGCAAAACAAAAAACATTTAGGCCTTTGCATGACAAGCGTGCGACAAAACGCTGAAAAACCGTTTGAAGTCTATGTGGACAAGAGCGCAGAAATGTGTAGAAAAGCACCTCATTTACACTTAGGTGTGAACAGGTGCCATAGAAAACAATGAGATTCCTTGTGTTCAGCATTTTGTTGTTTCGAGCTTTGAGCTTTAAAACACTTAGGTGTAAACGGGGACTTATTGTGTGTCCAATGTTTCAGTGGGGCACAGCCAACCTTTATCAAGGCCATCGCAACTTTGGACACACAATCAATGGTTTTTGTTTTGCTGAATTGCTCCTGCCGGTGCCCCGACCAGCTTTTACTGCCTGCAATCTATCTACTGTAGCGCATCCTGGCAAATATCTGGTAAAGTGAGCAGTGACTACTGCTGCAATTATATATATATTATATAGATACACACATATAATGGAAGGATGAGTAGTGGGGAAAGAGAACGGGTAAGCTGGTGCGCACCTGTCTGCTTCATCGGCACTCTCGGCACAGTTTCATATCTCTGCTCTCTGCTGAAAGCTATGTCATATCTCTATTTATAACTACGGGGCTGATGAAATGACATAAGCCTTCTGGGAGGGAAACAATGTTTTTTTATAGCAGCCAATCAGAAACAATGTTTTATTTTGCAATGCAGGTTGCAAAAACAAATAGAAAGCTAAAACAGTAAATAGTTGCTGTGTATAAAAGCCCCTCTTGTCACGCTCCTGTTCTTTTATTATAAGAAAGTGGAACCTAGACCTTATTTTTCCTCTATATATTGTTTTCTGCTCTCCTCTGTGTCTCAGAGGAAAAGGAAGTCCTGCCCATGAAACACCTATTTCACTATCCCTAAATACCAACTTCAAATCTGTTCTCTTTCTAAACCTACGTACTATACTCTGTAAAAGGATACATCATGCAGTGTTGCCATGCTATACTGTATAATAGGCTTTATGCCCTTTGTTTCTAAAAAGTGATTTAGTCCAGTCTTGCTACAAATCTGAAGTACCCCATGCTGGCTCTAAAGATCTGACTAATGCTTTTTCTAAAATTATTTCCCTTACTGGCAGCTCTCTATGACCCTTGCATACTGCCATCTTAGAGACCCTGTCACTAACCTAAAACATTGCTGGTAAAAGCACAGAAAAATTAAGTATTTGAAAGGGTAGTGTTTTTCCTTTTCATAAATTATTTTTTATTCACTTGCCTCCTTCCCTCTACTCTTTTGGGATTGCCTACTTACTGTATTTGCTATCCCGTCTTGTCCATCCTACCCCCTTACCTCCCTTCATAAGTGCCCTTTCACACTAGCTGATCAGGGGGGGGATCTGTGCATGGATCCCCTCCTGATCGGAGTGGTACGGATCTGATGTCACTCTTGTGACATCCATGACCATTCAGTTTTCATCCTCCATCGAAAAACTGAAATGACCAGACTTCATGTCGGTATATGGGGACTTGGATGTAAATGGACATGTGACCTTTTACATCAAATTACCCCCGATCCAGCACGACCAGGTACGGTAAAACTAACTGACAGATGGACCTGATTAGACCACCTGTCTTAAAGGGGCCTCACCCTTTTTGTAGCAGTTAAGGGAATACTATAAATGTCAGTTGAGTGACAGCTGTAAGTCTGCTGACATGCCATCCAAGTTGGCAGCGCCCAACAGCAGTCTCAGGTCTCTGATGTATAATTTAAATGTAAATTACATTAACTTCACATATAACCTTTCAGCAAGATTGATGTTAAAAAGAATGGTCTGGTGACAGGGTCTCGTTAAGCAGCTGTTGCCTACTCTGTTTAAAAAAACTTGACTGTCTCCCTCTGGTAATTCTCTATTTAGAAAAGCAAACACTGCTGCTGGTACATATAGCACTGTTCTTTGTGTAAATAATAGCTACACGTTACTATCTAATTAGGCAGATGCATAATGCTTTCAAAAAAAGGCGCAGGCCTTTGTAAACATTTGTTCCTAAAACAAAGTTTGTTTCTTTACAAAGATGCTAGACTTCCAATACTACCACTCTCAGCTTAGTAAGTAAAGAGAGGTTACTCTGCTTTACAACTACTTCTGCTATCATTGGAGAAATCTGCAACCTTCCATCTATTGAAATATATAAAACCTGCTGACTTCGCAAAGAGCATTCCACCCAACTGTGGGCAATGCCCCCTATAACTGCTCTCCTTTATCTATGCAGTGACTGCTGAACCCTCATCATCCTAAGCTGGCCATGCATTGGTAGAATTTCATTGGATTTTCTAATAGTTATTGGGGTCAAATCGATGATCGACGAATAGGAGCAGGATGGAATTTTTTTCTGAAATCCAAACAGTGAATGGGATTTTTCTTTGAGAAACTTCAATTATTCCAAAATCAAATTAAATTTCGAATGACATTTGTCAAGTCTCTGAAGGCTTCATCGAATGTTCTGATTAAATTTTTCGTATGAACGTTCAGTGTATGGCCAGCTTAATATTAAAAACCCAAAAGCCATCAAAATGCCATCCATATATGTCCCTCTGCACTAAGCCAGTCAAAAATCATGACTGTCCTGACAAAAAAAAAGGGACATCTGGGACATAGGATTTTGCCCTGTAAATAACATCCTATGCTGCGGCAGCCTGTGCCTTCCTTGGTTTACATGTTGCTCTTTGCTCGTTTATATTCTGAAGGTATGAGATCACAGGTTTAGTGAAAGACATGTAAAAATGAATATTTTATATCTGTTTCATTAAAAATGTACTCGGTTTGTCATTAAAAGCCCTACTTGCAACAAACCTTCTGTTGAATCTGCATCCTCTGTTTACTTTACTCGTGACTCTTCATTTAAACAGGTATATAAATATTGATGGATTTACTCCTGCTTAGTTCTAAAGAGAGAAGGTGATGCAGCCCATGGTGACTGTGACAGAAACCCAACTCCTGAGTCGCCTTGTGCTGAGGGATCCTGCTACAGCAAAAAGAGCCCTGGCATGGGGTCACTGAGCGACTTTCCCTGAAGAGATGGCCTTGACTGATGATGTCACAGACACCCAGAGTGGACATATTGCAAAGTACACATTTATATACTTGCATATCTATATACATTGTGGAAGAGGCTCGATGCAGCATGTAAAGGTTCTGCCGGAGTTACCAAGGCAGGAGGTGGGTTGTCCCAACGTTATCATCCCACACAGTTTGATCAGAGCGCCCTGAATGTCTTATTGCTTATTACATGGAGTCTGTGAACTCAGTCAGGGAGCAGCAATTTCTGTGCTAGAGCAAGGACGCCCACTCAGATCTCAACCAGACAGTCCTGAGGCACCAAGCCTCTTTTCTTTCCACTGGACACTCTAATGAGGCCTTCCGAATCTAGCTTCTCAACTCCCACACAGACCTGAGGATAAAGAAGATTACAAGTTGTTAGGAAGGTTAAGTGACATGGCTTCTATATATATATATATATCAGATTTGAAGAGGAGCTCAAGAAATTACAGAAGGAACTGATTGTTAGTTCAAGTGTGACGGTATGAATTGAAAGATACATTAGGATGAAATAGCACTACAGTTTTCACCAGTTTAAAGAACTCTGGGTAAAAATTGTATTAACCCTTGCAGTAGGGCTACCTGAGAACTGCAAGGGTTAATTGCTATTTTTTGCCTAAGGTCAAAAATAACAAAGTTATACTCGCCTGATCCTTCAAGCCAGCTGGCTGTGATAGCTCTCCATCCTACCTATCTGCCCCTATGTTGCTGCAATGCTATGTCCCTCGGCACCCTCATGTCCTATACATTGTGTATAGAACGTGATGACTCAGAGGATAGGGTTACTATAACTTTTTTTATTTTTGACCCTAGACAAAAACGAGCATTTAACATTTGCCCCATTGCAAGGGTTAATAAAATGTTTCCCTGGAGCTCATCTTTAATTGTTTTCATTTACTTTTTTTTCTTTTTCTTCTTTTGCCTGTAAAAAAAAAAGTCTTATTTTAAGAGAGTTTGGCTTCTTACAATCTTCACCTACTGTGGATGTTTGTGGTGTTTAAAGATGTAACTAGACCTCTCTTTTGTCTTTTCTAGTATGGCACAAATTGACAATAGCATAACAAATGCGGTAGTGTTATATTACTGTGTTTACACATACATTCATATGCACTTGATAGATTTTTAAGGGATTTTGACTGTCAGAGGTTTTTGCATCAATTATTGTTATTAGGGAGTACCAATACTGATTACCTACAGGTGAAACTCGAATAATTAGAATATCGTGCAAAGTTAATTTATTTCACTAATGCAACTTAAAAGGTGAAACTAATATATGAGATAGACTCATTACATGCAAAGCAAGATAATTCAAGCCGTGATTTGTCATAATTGTGATGATTATGGCTTACAGCTCATGAAAACCCCAAGAACCCCAAATCACAACCTCAAAAAAGTAGATTATTACATGCAATCAATAAAACAAGGATTGTACATAGAACAATATCGGACCTCTGAAAAGTACAAGCATGCATATGTACTCAGTACTTGGTTTGGGCCCCTTTTGCAGCACTTACTGCAATTACTTTTGCACGATATTCTAATTATTCGAGTTTCACCTGTATACCGGTGCGGTGTGCCTCGATTATCAGGAAGTCGGGCGGCAGATCATGACCCGCCTCCTGGCTTCCTGATTGGCTAGGAAGCCAGCTCCACTTGTTGCTAGGCAGCCTGACCAATCAGGAAGCTGTGAGGCGAGTTATGACGTGCCATCCAGCTTCCTTATTGGTTAGGAAGCGAGGCTGCCTAGCAACAAGTGAAACCGGTTTCCTAGCCAATCAGTAAGCCGGGAGACGGGTCATAACCCACCGCTCAGCTTCCTGATTGGAAAGAAAGCCTGCTCCATGCTCCCTCGAAACTGCCGATCAGAGGGAGATTTCCCTCTGACTGGAAGTTCCGGTATCGGAGGTAAGTAAGGATACTAGTGATGGTATTGGTGCATCTCTATTATACAGTATTGTGCTTCTTACAATACTAGCTTTAGGCTGGTGGTTTCAATGAGGTATCTATTGGGGATAGCAGGAAAGTTAGCCATCTGAGATAGAGATAAATAACAATTTATGAGAAAACAAGACTTTTAACACTTACAGATCTAATTACAAAGTTTTCACACAAGATTCACACAACTTTCACATTTTTCCAGTTAGAAAAATCTGAATCTTTGGTGACAGCTGTGTCGATTTGAAAACATTGATAAATAGATCCCTTAGGTTTCTGTCCCACACTAAGCAATAATAATTCCAAACCTAAATTATCATGACATAAAATGTTGATTTCTATAAAATAGTAATAATTCATAAAATGTTATTTCACACTGTTTTAAGGACTCATAAACTCTTGGACATTATTCAAGGACTCTTGAATAAAAAAACATGCTGGTGAGGAAATTAGCGGAGACTAAGAACCCAAGAGCTCTGACTACCAGATGCATTATATGGGTGTTTTATGTCATCAGAGAGCCTTGTGATTTCAGCCAAACAGACCCTGTCTGGGTTACTCACAGTGAGATAAGAGAAGAGCATAATCATTGAATCATTGTGGCTGGCTGCCATGTACACATATAACTTCAAACTTGGCAGGGAAACAAGATGTTGAGAACCAAAGCCTATCTTCGGGTAAAAAGAAGAAACATTGCAAGGGTTAGCTGCCTGTTTATGTCTAGGGTTGGGTGACCATTCGTCCCCGATTTCTGAGGACAGTTCCACAAATTATGTCCTCGGAAATGTCCCAGAGAACATAAAATAATAAGAAAAGAAAAACATTTTTTTTTCTATATTCACCTGATCCCTGGATCCACCGACCGACCATATGTGCCGACAAATTATGTCCCCGGAAATGCCCCCAAAAACATAAATTTAAAAAAATATATTTTTGTTTACACTCACCTGATCCCTGGATCCACCGACCGACCATATGTGCCATGGTGTATATTGCCACGCTGGGATGGTGAGTCCGCTTTGACACCCAGCCTGCCTGCCTCTGTCTACAGCGTCCCGCTGTAGCAATGGTGACCGGTGACGTACCCACATGGGTACGTGCGGCCTATCCCGGTGTTCTATCAAAAGCTCCAACTCCTCAAGTTCTCCAACTGCCTGACTTCCGGTTTAGTTAGAACTAAGAGGTTTGGCCAAGAAAGCTCTTCTGCACGAGCCCCAGCCGCAGCATTGCCCTATCCACATACACCACAGCAATGAAGTATTAAAATGAAGTAGGATGACACTAATCCAACACGTTATTAATCTCCGGTGCACCACTCGATATGGCTGCCGCTTGGGTAGGGCACCTGAGATTAATAACGCGCTGGATTAGTGTGATACTTGTTAATTTTAATACTTCATTGCTGTGTTGTATGTGTATAGGGCAATGTCGCGGCTGGCGCTCTTGCAGAAGAGCTTTCTTGGCCAAACCTCTTAGTTTTAACTAAACCGGAAATCAGGCTGTTGGAGAACTCGATAAGTTGGAACTTTCGATAGAACACCGGCACAAGTCTCTGCTGCACCTGTAACAGCCCAGAGTTGCGTCATTCCGAAGTTGCAGTCTTCCCCCTATACTGGACACAGGATGGGCATGACGAAAGGCTGGCCCAATGAGTCAGATAGCGGCAGACCACACCCCCTTTACGATCTAACAGCTTCCCAATCTGTACAGCTGTTTACTGTATATATACGCACGGATCTCAGCCTGGCTATCACTTTGTGTCTTTGTGGTACCGATCTAGGGTTGCCACCTGTCCAGGATTCACCTGGACAGTCTGGGTTTTGAATGCTGTGTCCAGGTTTCATGGCAGCATAAACCCGGACACAAGGGGGTTGATTTACTAACCTTATAAATAAACCACGAACATGTATACACCTCTGCAGTGTGTTCCCTCCCAGCATGATCTATGGGTGGAATCTAAACACCTAGTGAATCACCCCCAAGATGTCAGGCAGACAGGGTAGGGTTGCCACCTTTTTTTCAAGCGAAACCCGAACATTCTAGCGGCGCGTGGACATTTGTTTGGTAGAATGAGTCATGGCTTATTTATATGTAAATATCGCGACCCATTCATATGTAAATACCACAGTTGAGACTATTACCAGTGGGGGGCCAGTAGCCCCCTATTTTAATTTTGGTTGCCCCTGTCTGCCTGACATCTTGTGTCCGGGTTTCTGCTGCCATGAAACCCGGACACAGCATTCAAAACCCGGACTGTCCGGGTGAATCCTGGACAGATTGCTAATGGAGTGCTGTTGTGTCCATATATTTTTCCTTGTGATTGCGATGGTTGCCATCCATCGATAGCCACAGCACATATTCTACTACTTTGGAAACAGCGTAGGAGGGAGCTGTCACTTCAGGATGGCCAAGCGCTGAGGAGAGAGAGCTGCTGGCTGTTAGATCCTGGCTGAGCAGCTCTCTCTCCTCACCGCTCGGCCATCCTGAAGTGACAGCGTTCCCTCCTCCGCCCCCCTGCAGGTATTAGCGCTTCACTTCTTCTCAGATCCCCGCTGCCTCTGCCCATACAGGCGGGGAAGAGCAGCGGGATCCAGAGGAGAAGCAGCAGGCTGTGCCGCTCCACTTCTCCCTGCCGCTCTCAGCCCTGGCTGCACCCCCCTGCTCCTGTGCCCGAGGTGAGTGCCTCAGTCGCCTCGCCCTAGCTACGGCCCTGGGTAGCCTCACTCCAAGGGTAGCTTTTTAAACTGGAATTCACTTTTAACATATAAAGATATTATTTACATTGAGGGCCCTGTCACACCATATCCCGTGCGGGTCCTGGTGCGGTTCGAGCCCTAGGCGGTACCATTGACATGAATGGCACCGACACCCCCCCCCCCCCCCCACCTCGCAACCTTGCCGGGATAAT